CGTACCCTGACGAACTTCACGACGTGGTATTGTTTGATCCGACCGATTTCACGTAACGTCAAGGTCTCGTTCAGAGAGGTGTCGTTAACAGATGGTATCATCACTCGATTACCGTCAAGGATAGATATCCTGTCGAATATATTTGCTGTAAACGGCCGGTGCTCTTTCGTTAGAGAAACTCGCCATGATCTGTTCCAGTGTACTTTGTACGCTTTTTCCTGCACTGTAAAGCAAACGTTCGCCATTTTGTCGCTCGTTAGACAACGAGAGAAAGAAGTTATTCTTATCTGGTTAAATATATATTATGATACATCAATATTTTCCAAAAATATTCTTTTATTCAACGCGCTAAAAAAAGACACAGATTTTTAACATGACCAGTTTCGAAAAGAACTTGCTTGAGAAGCAAAAGTTTGCAAAAAATGGGGTTCGCGATGTTTTCCGGAAGCTTACCTGGCGATGTTTTCCGAATGTGAATCTTGATGAATTCTATCTTGGACTGCTGCAATTTCTCGTCTAGGTACGCGTTTAGGTCCGTTGCGTGTGCAAGGAACAACGGCATGAAGGTAAAACCTGCCAGCTGCAATACGAAAAACGCTAAACTTAACAAAACACGAACATTCTCGCGAAATATATTCCGAGCACGTCGCTGTTAATTCTATCGACATTCGCTTGAGAGAAATAGCGATACTCACAAACAGAAAGACGAGATTCATGGTTCTGCGATCTCGATCACTGTGTCTCGATCGAATCCATCCACGGCTGAGGCCGTGCGGACATTGAGAGGTCACTTTGGAAACGGTTGGTAATATCCGAATGATCCTCGTAAGATATACGGTACGAGGAGCGAGTAAACATTGTAAATGTAAATCCTTCGACGAGACGAATTCCGGGAATCCTCTTCCCCGCATGAGCGTGACTTGCCATCATATGAGAATAATATATGCTTCCGTTTTGAATCTAGATTCAAAATTAAGACACAATGAGCAATTAAAAGCATCTCGCGCGATACATACGATTGTATATAGTACATATCGAAATGGGGAAGAAAGCGAGCTCATTGATATCGTGCGAAGAGAATTTGTCTGTGAGCTTTACTGCACGAATTTCTTCTTGCAGCGACGAAGGGGACGCAAAGTGAAAAAAATCAAGGGTCAACCCAGATAACACAGAGAATTTAAAAAGAATTCGGTCGCACGTCACCAATTCTGAGTTCATTTTTAGGTGCAAAAAGAATTCTTTTCACTGAACTGAACGCTGAAGAATTCTTTTTGCATACGAAAATAAACTCAAAATTGGTGACATCCCAAGAAGAACAGATTGCCTATTGGTTCTTGAAGTTAACTTTTGGAACTATAACAAGTCAATGTCAATAATTCGTCTCCATTAATATGACATCAATTAAATAACAGTTTACAATTAGTTAATAGCTAGTTCATTTACGCATCTTACAGTTATCATTTGGTATATATTTAATTTGTATCCATGTACCAACTTGATACTTTTATATCTAAACGATATCTTTTTGGATATTAAAAGTTATCTTTCGGGCGGACATTAGATAATAGTTTACTGTGGTCTCGTGTACAATAATCTAAAAAAAGGTTATCATTAAGGGCTGGTTGTTCCAACTTCTTGGTTAGTTAACTGATAGTTAAATTATATGTTTGTCTTTGTTTTTCCTTCAATTTAGACAAAGCAAGACGTATGATTTGACTATCAATTAACTCAACAAGAAGTTAGAACAACCGACCCTAAGAATATTATCAGTACTACATTATAACATCCCTAAAGCAACACATACAGCCGTCTTTGCAACAGGTTTTACAGTCATTTGTGGAACGTTTTTAAAATATTTCTAATTAGATAACCTTTTCAGTAGACAGAAACTTAACTTTTTTACCGAAAATAAAGTTATCCTGACCTAATTTTATATAGTAAAATGGAATACTTTAAGATAACGTTGTTCTACGTTGGGATACGACTGAATTCTTTTTGGATTCCCTTTGAACTCTCTGTGCTATCTGGGAAGGTATGCAAAGATTAGCGGAAATCAACGCTGCTCGATGCGACGGACGCAAAACAGAATATTTGGATCGTGCCGCTGCGACGAAGTAACAACGCGAGTGTACGGCACATTTCGGTGTGTTTGTGTACGTGCACACGACATGTCTCCTTATAGATATACTTTTGTACATCGCCAGATCTCGTCAGAGGAGAATAGAAATTAAGGACGTGGTACAGGTTTGGTGGGTTTCACTTTTGGTACTTGTTTTTGTATCGCGACGTGTCTACGATCCCTCGCAACTTCGTCGGTCGATCGTCGTGCACGCGCGACTTCTTACTTCTTCTGCTTCGCATCTTCGCGATGCGCTTCAAAAGGAGGAGGTAAAACGCACATGAGTGCGCTTATTTTTCGCGTCACCTCGCCGTCAATTGCAGAAATTCTCGACTTCGCCGAGATAAAAATGCAGTCCGCGTTGAGATCGCTTTCGACCCCTTTCGACCTAAACTTTTATCGTACGCACAACAAACGAGCGCAGATCGTAAAGACATCACTCACAGCAGAAATGTCTGAGGTATATCGTAAGAATGTCGCAATGTCCATAAGATATTTCTATTTTGGACATTTCTGTTGTGCGGGAAATTATTGACGTACAGAAGAAAAGCTTCTAAGAGCTCTACAGCTGAAAGCTTTACGGTAATTTCTGTCTATTTTCGGAGAAAAACTCTGATTAGATATCCTAGACATTAGATTAGATTAGATTAGACAACACAATATCCAAAATCGGGACATAAGACGTCCCCAGAAAGCACAAAAGATTTCTAGGGGATGTTCTGGATTTTTAGGGACATTCTCGAACGTCTTTAGGATGTCTTGTGAAGAACTGGGCTCTTATCCTTGAAATAGTTGCGTATACGGAAGTTTTACTGTGCAGGCTTAATCATACCATAAAATAGCTGCGCAATGAAAATTACGTACACGCAAAAATTTCAAGAATAGAGGCCCATTGCTGTGCTTTGGGTTTTGAAGTCGTCTCTAAGGCTGGTATTCATAGTCGGTTCTTATATTTAAGATCGTTTTAAGTTTATCTTCACATGCTGTACGGATCATTTCATTGGCTATGGAGTATCTGAAGGTGAACTTAAGACGGTCTTAAGTATAAGATCTGACTGTGAACACCGGCCTATGACTTTGAAACGTAAAACGTCTCTAATGGGCCTTCTAGAGTAAATCATTACTCATAAACCGCAAGCAAACTAACCGATCATAGTCGATTATTTTTTTAAATAATCTATTATATTTAGTTAATTTGCTTACGACTTATCACTATAATAACTTATTATAGAAGACCTATAAGACATTTTTAAGACGTCTTCAAGACCTCTTGAAGATGTCTTGTCTCGATTTTGGACGTTGTGTTCTGTGGGATCGCTCTCGACGCCTCAATTGCAGAGTTATCGCGCGCGACACGAACGGAAAATGGACTTGTCAGTTATTAATGTAACTTATAAATAGACCACGGCAATTGAGTCGAATTAGACGGGAGTCGAAGTACAAAATCCTACATACTATTATTTGTCACGTTGCAGTCACAGCATTGATGAAAAAGATGGTGGAATAAAGTAGTTTACTATGGTCTCGTGTACAATAATCTAAAAAAAGATTATCATTAAGGGCTGGTTGTTTCAACTTCTTGGTTAGTTAACTGATAGTTAAATTATGTTTGTCTTTGTTTTTCCTTCAATTAGACAAAACAAGACGTATGATTTGACTATCAATTAACTCAACAAGAAGTTAGAACAACTGACCCTAAGAATATTATCAGTACTACATAATAACATCCCTAAAGCAACACATACAGCCGTCTTTGCAACAGGTTTCACAGTCATTTGTGGAACGTTTTCAAAATATTTCTAAACGATGCGTACTACCTGGGGTTGCATTCATCTTCATTTTTCATTTCCACTTATGCCGCGGGTGCCATCTGACGTTGACCCACAAGTCAGTTCTTATAACCTTTTTCCACTCAACGCATTCGTAAACAAACGCGACGAGTTCCTGCACGTTTTCGCGCGCGCACGCGCAACAGCGCTTGGTGTGTTCGAACACGAACATTGCCCGTGAACGGCCGTCCAACAGAAGGGCGATGCATCCATCTTCACGACTGAAGAAGTCTTAAGCTGTAACGTCGAAAAGCACCAAGTCATTTGCCCGGTCGCCGCACGTTCACCGATCAAAAGCGAGTGCTCACGCGACGCGAGCCATTTTCGAATCGCCACGATCGAAGATCGCTCGCGTCGCGCCACCTCGCGCCTACCACGAACACCGACAGGACCAAAAAGGTGGGGGGGAGTCGGCGATCGCGACGCTCCACGACTACCGATCTCTCTCACGCGCAGCGCGCCCTCATTGGCTGGCGTCGCGCGTTCCGATTGGCCGGCCTCGCGGACCCAACGGCGAGCGGCGAATCGCCGGGCGCGGCTCGACGGTCGCCGCCATCAGTCCGAAGGCAGCGCGACTCACTAGGGCGAGTGTCGTTCGGCGAAGTTCGGACCGCTGCTTGCGCGAGGAGGTGCGCGTGCGAGCGATCGCGAGCACACCGGTGTTCGTTGTACCGCGGCGGAGAGTGTCTGGGCTCTCTGTTGAATCTCGGCTTCGCGCGATTCTTCGCTCTGTCGTCCGCGTCTACTCGCCGCGGCTCTCGACGACGATCTCCCCGTCTCGTGCGTCACTTTCTCATCCGCTCGGCGAACACTCGCGTGAACGCCGGCGCCAGTGCCGGGAACGCGGTCGCGCAGCTGCGTGCGCGATCGTGGGAGAGTGAGAGAGAGACGAGGAGCGCGCAATACGTACGCTAGTGCTGCGTGCACCGAACTGTCTGTGTATCCGACTGTGTGTGTGTGTGTGTGTGTGTGTGTGTGTGTGTGTGTGTGTGTGTGTGTGTGTGTGTGTGTGTGTGTGTGTGTGTGTGTGTGTGTGTGTGTGTGTGTGTGTGTGTGTGTGTGTGTGTGTGTGTGTGTTTCGTGTGAGAACGAGAGGCGAGCGCTCGAGCGGTCTCCCCGCGCGTCCGTGTATGCGAGCGCGACCGCGTGCGGGCGGTTCCCACACGACGTCGTGTCCGTGCAACAAGTGTCAGGAGAGACGGTTGCGGCGGCGGTGGCGTCTCGCTGGAAACGCTCGACGGTTTTCGAGTTCGGCGGTGCGCTGTGCATGGTGTTGTCCGACCAGTGCGCGCGACGGACCGGCCGACGGGCTAGGAGTACCACGACGACGACGACGACGAAGGATACCATCGCCGCACGCATCACCACGACGTGCTGAAAGAACCGTCACCGGCGAGGGCGCGGGATGGGCTGCGCCGTGAGCAGCACCGGCGAGAAGGAGGCCGCTGAGCGGTCCAAGAAGATCGACAAGGATCTCCGGGCTGATGGCGAACGCGCCGCCAGCGAGGTCAAGCTACTGCTGCTCGGTGAGTGTCCTTTCCGCGTTCACCTATTCCACCCTGGCCACCCGGTCACTCGTCGACGCACGCACGCACGCATGCACGCGAGAACGGACCTCGGGAACGGATGTCCCAGGCGCGCGCGTTTATTACTGCGAGCGTTCCGATCCTCCGTCTCGGTTCCGGTTCTCTCGGGACATTTGCATCCCCTACTCGCCGACGCGCCTACACCGACACCGTCGATCTCCTCTTTCTCTCTCTCTCTCTTTCGGTCTCTGTCTTGCGTTCTCTCTTTTTCTCTCCCTCTTTCTCTTTCTTCACTCGCACCTCGTATCGCGTCTCGGACAACACGCGTCCGAAGACGCCGCGTAATCCGCGTAGAATCCGTAGAATTGGGGGACGAGCAGCGCGTTGGCATTCGCACCACGAGGATTTCGTTGAATCCGTCGGATGGTCGTCTTCTTTCCTGTTCCCGAAAGGTTTCCGCACTTTCCTCATGGCTCCGCATCTCCGAGTCGAGCGTGTTTTCGGTTCCACGAGGAAGTGCGTAACGTGCAGCGGGTGCCGCTTGGAAGAAATCCATTAGACCTTATCTCACCGGTCTCTCCACCTATACCTTGTGATATGACGAATTAACAATGTGACGTGGCGAACTCCCCGTTTTGTCGACACGAATGTGTCACTTTGCGATCGTGAGGAGCCGATAACAAACTAGAGAGTCGATGCTCCTCTCCATCGCATCATCATCGTCATCTTTATCATCATAGATGTCTATTACTTTCCCTCTTCCAGAGTCCCAACGCTCGCTTCGCTTTTAAACACGAAGAACGCGTGATGAAGTGTCTCGATGTGAAAGAGAGAGAGAGAGAGAAACGATTCCTCGACCGCGCCAAGAGGAAGATCGCCGAGCTCGGATTTCCTTCGCGATTGCCCGCCTCTTCCTGGATCCTCCGAGTCCCGCTCGTAACGAGGAAAAGAAAGAGCTAATCATGCGGTTAACAAGAGACGTCGTCGGTGGTGGCGACGTAAAAATTCGCGGCGATGGAGAGAGAGAGAGAGAGAAAGAAAGCGAGCGAGAGAGCGTCAGAGTGTTGCTCAACCACTAAACTCGCCGTCTCTCGCGACGGGTGTCGGTTTCGGAGATACGCTTTCGATCGCGCGAATTCACGTCCCTCCTTCTCTCTCGCGTCGCACTCTTCCCGCGCTGCTCTGTGTCACGTTCCAGGTTCCTTCTATGGTAGAATGAACGAACGCTCTCGCTCGCTCGCTCGCTCGCTCGCTCGCTCGACAGAAATTGTGGTCCGCCGTTTTTAATCGCGGCGGCATACTCTCGTTTCGCGTCTGTCGGAAGCGCGCGATCCGCTTTTCCGCGAATGAGTCTCCTCGAGAGATTGCGCGCGTTTCATTACTCGAGATGCGTTCGAGTCGAGCCTGCGACTCGACTTGCTCTATTCTGAAAGGCCGTGAACATTAATCGTCTCTGTAGCTCTCGTCGCGTGTATATTCCGCATTTGTAAAATTGGTGTAATATTTGTAATATTTCTCGTATTAATATTCGAATACAGTAAAGGCTCTCCGTAGAAACATCTATCTAATGCGAGGAGAACACAGAATGCAGGAGTCTAATCGTGGTTCTCTGGTGCGACTGAAAAATAATTCACAAGAGAATTTCGTTGTTTGAAACAACTCAGAATTATCCTTCGACCACCTTTATTTTCAAAAGTACATACTGTGAAGCTGCTCTGATAGTACGTGAACTTTTCAGCAACTTTAAAGTATATTAAATCATGAAATTCAGCAACGTAGACTCTTTAAAATTTGTCCCAAACAATATGTCATGTTAAATGTTGCAATATGAAAATCTGAGCGTAACTTTCAGTAATACAACAAGAAATTTACGTTATTGCATGATGTGAATTCAATAATGAATTCAATACAGTACATTTGCTCCATAAATGTGAAGTTTTCATCATCGATTGTCTCACGTCATAATAATCACTAAAGTCTACCTGAGCACCTTCCTTGTTCAAACTATCCTTTAATTCCCAATTAAAAATGGCATTAGATTCCCTTTCTCCCAAGAAGAGAAAAGAACCGAAAGATAAGAACAATTTCACGAGTCACGCGAAAGAACCTCGGTTAAACTCTTACAGGCCGTACTCTCTTCGCGTTCAAATATTTATCGATCGCGTTTGTCACTGCTTTGTCGAATAACGAATGTGATATCGTTTAAGGGTTCAGACTAATGCAGTGCTCTGAAAAAGCGTATTTTTGAGAATTCATTTTGCGAAAATGGATCAACCGAATGTTTTGAAACGTTGTACATCAGTTAAGTAACTACTAAAATTTATATTATTATTTTTGTTATTTAGAAAAACCTATAAATAAATATGTGACCGAAACGATTGCAAAAGATACCGCTGCGATTGACGGGAAAGATAACACTCGTTCATCATTCGGTTGATCTGTTCTTGCAGAATTAATTCCCAAAAATAGGCTATTTTTCAGAGCGTTACATTGGTCTGGCTCCTTGAGGTCAATCAGCAATTCGTATCGGCGGGATTGGCATCGGGGAAGTATTGCGGTGTCCCCTGAAGCGCGAATTTTTGTCCGAAAATCGCGCAATCGCGGATGTAGAACGCGCGCGGCGCGTTACGGGAAACTTGAATCATCGGCCGCGCGTATGAATCATGAGATTACGTTTCCGAGATCGATGCGTATTGTCTCTGACTGGCGCACGGGGGAAAAAAAGCGTTGTCTCCCGTCGACGGAAACCAACCACCGGTCTTGCGCGACTATTTGGCGGGACCGAATCGATCGGACGGCGAAACAACCGTCGATGATTAATCTGCTAATTGGATTCGCTCCAGCGAGGTGTCGAGCGCATCATTGCTGCGCCGCGTGGGCTCTCACGCTTGATTTCGTATCGATTCGGCAAACGAACAGCCGCGAGCCGCGCGACGGATGAATATCAATGAACATGTAGCAGCGACGATACGCCGCGTGACAACCGTTTTAATTACCGTGCCGAGGGAGAATCGCACTCTCGTCGCATCGCACCGCGCTCCCATTGGAGCAACGATCCATCGACTGATCATTCGTACTTGTCATCATTAAAAACCTGTCTTTTGAGCGATCTATAATTCCTGTGAGAATGCGGAATAGAATTCCGTCGTGATTCACATGTTGTGTGATGCAGGAAACGTGTGAATGTTTTTTATGTAGATATACTACACTTACACACACAAAAAAATGCGTGCTGCATGCAAGTAAATGTTACTTGTTTCAAGTATTTCACAGATTTCTATTTCTGAGCGCAAATCTATCATAAGCTCGTCGTAAACATCAAATTTATTCGAGATACATTCGGAGTTCCAATAAACTTAACAGTTCAGTCAAGAATATTGAACTAAAGTAAATATTTAGTTTACTTGCTTACATAGAGTCAAATCAAGTTTATCTTCGATTAAGTTTTATAATATTCTCGTGAAAAGAATAAAGAGAAGAAATAAGAGAATAAAGAGAAAAAGAAAGAAAAAAGAAAGAGAAAAGAAGAGAAAAGAATAAAGAGAATAGAGATAAAGAGAATAGAATTTTTGATTGCATGATAATGAGCTTTCCTCTCAAATTTGCAATGAGTATATTATCAAGAAAATATTCTTTGTTGGAAATGATCATTACTTAAGAGAAGAAAAGTAAGTTGAGTAGTCGTTTCTCTTGGCAGTAGAATATTTCTCTGTTTTCTGTGTTAATTTTAAGACTGCTGACAGTCAAGGAAAGAAAATAATTTTCAGAGCATTTTACAAGTGTGCTTAAGCGGTAAAAAATGTTCATTCATACAGATATCTTTTTATTTGTAAATGACACGTAAGAATCTTTGTCATGCATTTTCTCACTTTTGACATTATCAATCCAGGCTTCCACAGCCTTACCACCAGGAACCTTAAAAGTTTATAATTACATATAATTGATGATCGCATTGAGTATGTTACGGATTGGCGAGTATTTACAATGATTGCATGAAATATAAAAATGTACGTTAACATTCAAGGTGCTGGGGAGTCCGGCAAGTCCACGATAGTGAAACAAATGAAAATCATCCACGAGACCGGGTACAGTAAGGAAGAATGCGAGCAATACAAACCTGTGGTGTACAGCAACACGATACAGAGCCTAATGGCGATAATCAGAGCCATGGGGGAGCTTAGAATCGACTTCGCCGATCCCAATAAAGCGGTAAGCCCCTCGTGCCTCTTCCTATTTGGTAGATGCAAAGGTTCGTCATGTTTGTCGAATAAAATTGCAAACGAGAGTCACGCGTTGAGTCACAAGCAGCTCTTCCGTTTTCTTCCTCCAAGTTTATCCTTATCTAGCGTGTCTCATGATGGCACTTCTCACACGTGAAATCCAAATATCAATAACGATTTATATCAGTCAGTTGAACTAATCCTTAATTGGCAGCTAATTGTTACGGCTTCTCGATTCTTCTCGCACGAGTGCGAGAAGGAAGGAGAAAAAGAGAATGTGAGAGTGCGAGAGAGGAGGAAGGAAGAAATATTTCATGTGCTTACATCAGAGATTATTCGTGACTCATCTATGATAATCGTTATTAGCTTCAATCTTTTTTCTATCCAGGGAGCGGTTCTCTCTCTCTCTCCCCCCCCCCC